AATTGACAGTTCTAGGGCTCTTGCCCTGCAGGGAGTTGTGGCAATAGCGCCCTCTTGTGAGCATTTTGAGAATAGCGCCCTAGAAATTTCTTGTACCGTAGTAGCAGTCTGAATATAAAACCCAAGTTACAATCATTGAGGGTTCTCGCCCTTGCAGGGACTTGTAATAGTGCCCCTTATGGACATTCTGAGAACAGCACCCCAGTAAAGGATTAAGCACAATAGCATCCCTTTTTAAAATTTTCATTTTGAGCTGAGGCCGGTTTGGCTCAGTGGATGGAGCGTCAGCTTGCAGACTGAAAGGTCCCAGGTTCGATTCCGGTCGGGGGCATGTACCTTGGTTGCGGGCACATCCCCAGTGGGGGGTGTGCGAGAGGCAATTGATCGATGACTCTCTAGCATCGATATTTCTAGCTCTCTATCCCTCTCTCCTCTCTGTAAAAAATCAATAAAATATATTTTTTTAAAAAATTTTTATTTTGAGAGTATTACAGATGTCACCCCTCACCCCAACACTGTCTCCTTCCACCTGGTTTCCAACCCACCCCAGGCCTTCACCCATCTGTGTCCATAGGTACCGTATTTTCCGGCGAACAAGATGACTTTTGAAACAAAAAAAAGTCAACCGAAAATCGGAGGCAAAAGACCAAAATTGCACAAAAATTACCTGCCGATCTTGACGGCAAAGTAAGTCTTTTCTTTGAAGTGGGGGGTAGTCTTATACAGCGAATATAGGGCTAAAACCTGTAAAATTAGGGGGTCGTCTTATACGCCGGAAGATCTTTAATCTCTTCCCACTCCCTTGTCCCCTCCTCTCTGAGATTCCTTAGTCTGTTCCATGCTTCCATGCTTCTGATTCTATTTTATTCACGTTTATTTTGTTCTTTAGATTTCTTATTTTTATTTTTAGATTCAGTTGTTGAAAGCTATGTATTTGCTGCCATTTTATTGTTCATATATTTTATTTCTCCTCTTCCTCCTCCTCCTTTTTAAATACCCATCAACATTTCATGTAATACTGGTTTGGTGGTGCTGAACTCCCTTAGCTTTTTGCTTTTTTTTTTTTTTTTACTTTTTTTTTTTTAAATGTCTTTATTAAGGTATCACATATTTGTCCTCATCCCCCCCCCCCATTCCCATCCCACACCCCTCCCCACCCATTCTCCCACCCCCCTGTTGTCCTTGACCGCTGGTTAGGCTCATATGTATGCACACAAGTCCTTTGGTTAATCTAGCTTTTTCTTCTTACCTTTTATTAACAAATCTTAATTGTTCAGATTATTACAATTGTTCCTCTTTTTTCTCCCCATAGCTCCCCTCCACCCAGTTCCCACCCCACCCTCTGCCCTTACCCACCCCCCACTGTCCTCATCCATAGGTGTGCGATTTTTGTCCAGTCTCTTCCCGCACTCCCCACACCCTTTTCCCCCTGAGAATTGTCAGTTCACTTCCTTTCTATGATTGTGATTCTATTATATTCACCAGTTTATTCTGTTTATCAGATTTTTTATTCACTTGATTTTTAGATTCACTTGTTGATAGATATGTATTTGTTGTTCATAAATTTTATCTTATCTTTTTCTTCTTCTTGTACTTAAAGAATACCTTTCAGCATTTCATGTAATACTGGTTTGGTGGTGATGAATTTCTTTAGCTTTTTCTTGTCTGTGAGGCTCTTCATCTGCCCTTCAATTCTGAATGATAGCCATCAATTGGACCCCCTAAGGAACAGTTTATAAAAGAAATCTAGATATCTGGTCAAGTTCAAATGATCCTGAATATCTTAAGAAATACAGTGGGATGGCCGCTTGTATTCTGAGCGCAGTAAGAAACTCGTCAGGTTTCCCCACCAGAGAAAGCAAATTCATTCCCTGGGAAACTTGGACTAATCTTCACCCACAGTCCAGCTATCTGCTCCCCAATCTCCCGCACTCCCCAGAGGGGACGCCAGGGGACGCCGAGCCGCCCTTTGCCTCCGTTCTCCACCCCCAGATCTGCGGGGGACCTGACACCGTGGGGCCCCGCTGGCAAAGCTGACGGCCCCCCCTCCGCGCCGGCGACCCCAGGGCTGCGCGGGGGCGGACGCGGGGGCGGACGCGGGGGCGCGGCAGCTCGCGGGGCCGAAAACAGCGGGCGGGGCTTCGCCTTGGCCCAGCCTCAGTCCCCTGAGACCTTAAAGTTGCGGGCGCCTCCCCGACCCTCCGACTCCGCCTTGGGGTGGGGGCGCCCGTCTGCCGGCGCCGGAGCGAGAATGCCGGAAGCCGACCCCACTCCACAGGCTTAACTTCGAGGGCGAGCCCGACGCCGCACCACGCTCTCCCGCCAAGAAGCCCTGCGCCCGCAGCACTGGGCGCCGCGCCCTCACACGGGCCGGTCCGGACCACTTTCTTCGGCTTCGCTCCCGCCCCCGATAGGCTGGAATGGAGACCCGACCTCCTCTCTAGCGGGTTCCCGTCCCACACGAAAACCCGATCAGAAACGACTCCTCCCACCAGCCAGTCATCGCCGCCAGCCAGTCATGGAGCGGTACTCAGCGTCGTCTTCGCCCACTTCCGCCTCTGGAGCCGCCCGGCCACGCCCCCAGGCCGGAACCGCTCTGGCCCCGCCCGCGCAGGCGCAGCTAGGTCAGGAGTGCGCAAGCGCAGGAGCGCGGACTTCCCTTCCCGGACGGGGTAGGCGCGGGATGTGGGACGGCCTGACTCGCAGCTGTGGGAGGAGTCGCGTCTACAGTTGGGCCGCGTTGACAGTGAAATCCCGAGTGGGAGTCGGGCACAGGAAGCACCTGCACCTGTCATGCTCGAATGGCCTCTCTCTCGCTGAAGTGGACACCTTCAGAAACGTAGGAATATTTATTTTGTCAGCCACAAAGTTTGTGATACTTCGTTACCGAAGGAGCAGGAAACGAATACATTGTCTGTTTTCCAAAGTAAATTTACCAATATACACACAAATGGAGCTTTGAAAAAAAGTATGCAGACTTCAGCCTCACACCACACTAACTGAACTGTAACCTCTGGATAGGCTCAGAAAAAGGAGTTAAGTTCATTAGGTGAGTCTGACCCATCCTGGAGGCTGAGAACCACTTGCCCACTAGTAAATCTAGATCCAGATCCCATCATGGAAGAATAGCGTGGCAGTGATTTAGCCACAGCACTGAAAGCAGTTCTGGTAAAAATTGTTCCAGGTACCGGAAGGGTCCCTCTTCCTCCTCTGTTCAGAGCTAACATAACTAACCTTTTATTCTGCTGTGATTGAAGAGTCAGTTTATACTAACACAGTTCACAAAGAACCATTAAGACTGAAGCCTCTCTCTACTTACAGAATATTTTTTCTTTAATATGCTACTAAAATGGCTCTTTCAGAAACTGCCACACCTTGGCTCCTTGACCTTCATGAAGATCTTGCTCCTAGGAGTTGGCAGGACTCCTGGTTCCTCAGAGAAGAGCAGCTTTGGAACGTGGGCGACAGTCTGCCTGGCTCATGGGATCGTGCAGTCTTTGCAATCCTTGTGCTGAGGCTGCAGCAGGCAGCTGACCCTTGGGAAATCCTGAACAAGAAGGTAATTGGGCAAGTTGGGCTACAGGTGGAGGTTCTGGGCAGGGTCCCCTCATGCCAATCCAAGGATATTCTTGAAAGGTAAGTCTGCTTCTTACGTTGCATCCAAGGATCTTGGGATTCCTTAGTAGTGATATCACCAACTGCTGGGCCTCTACTTGATGACCAGTTTAAAAGTCCTGAGAAGCCCTGTGCAGTTTCCATCACAAACTATGTCATCAAAATGAATAAAGAGCAATCCAGTGTTGAAACTATAATCTACTTGGGGCTAATAATTGGAGTATTTTCCTGACAACAGGTATCACTGTTTGCCTTTAAATTTTAAAATACTCCTTGGCATGCTGTGATCCCTGCAGTGCACTTGCTTTGAGCGCCATGGCTATGATGGTTTTAAAATGAGTGATTCTCACCCAATTTTTGTGGCTCAGTGATTGAGTCCTAACCCATGACCAGGAGGGCACTGGTTAGATTCAACATGTGCCATCCCCAGTAGGTAGTGTGCAGGAGGCATCCAATCAATAATTCTCTCATATCATTGTTTCTATATCCCTCTTCCTTCCTTTCCTTGAAATCAATAAAAATATTTTTGAAAAAGAGTGATTCTCATTTTTTCTTAGAATGAGTATTCAAGATGATCATTTCTTCAAAGTGCTACTACAGTAAGGTCCAATGTAACCTGACTCCTTCCATCCTGCAGACCCCCTAAAACTAAGCCCCACAGGAGATTCTTTTAAATGACCATAGCAGGCACTGAGTCTCCACAGGCGTGTCTAGATTCTGACATTCCTACAGAGGACAAATTAGATAAATTTAAAATTCCCTTGGAAGAGGAGCAATTAACTATTTTAAATAAAATAAATTAGAAATGATACTATTTAGAAAGTAGCCCATTAATTTAGAAATTGGCCTACTATTAGGCAAACACTACTAGACAATATTAAATGCTAAGAAAATAAAAAACCTAATACAGTCGATTGAACACTTACAAGAATTCTTGATGTCTTTCCTACCCTGCAGTATTTCATACTGATTTTCCACACTTAATCACCTGAGATAAAATAGATTCAAATTACAAAATACAACTATACCTGGATTCATAAGTGGACATAACCAACCAATTTTTCATTCTAGAAACAGGCTGTTAACTATAGATATAAATATTCTAAACAAAAGTTCTGATTGATATCCTGCTTAAAATACAGTTAATAATAAAGATAACTGGATATTACCATAGTACAAGTAACAATCCAGACTAGACCATAAATAAATGTATAGAACACATGATTATGACAAAAGTTGAATGCCAAACATCAAAGGAGAGAACAGACTGAAGTAAACAATTTCCGAAGCCTTTAATTCATCATGTAGCCATACTCAAGATGTTGAAGGAAATGTCTGTATCTGCTGGGTTCTTGTTGGCAGCAATGAGAAGGCAGAACTTTTTTTTATGCCTTTTTCTGTCCAGTCTCACCATCAGAAGCAATCTTTGATTTGTTAGATGCTTCATAAGTTTGGATAATAAGTCTTAGGTGAGTAATAATTTCCTTGTCTGCTGTTTTCATGTTAAATCCCAACATCTTCATGATAGTTTCTCGAAAGTTGACTTCCTTCAAAGTTTGAGACATGTCATTAGTTTTGGTCACCTACTTATTGTATATGATGAAATTGGTATGAGAAATTTAGTCTTATTTAACATTTCTTTGTGAAATATAACATTCTATATTCAAACATTTTTAACCTAGAAAAATGGTCTCCTCTGTTACAAGTAACCTTTATATAAAATTTTCTTTTAAGATTTTTTTCTTTTTTTTTTTTTAAATATATTTTATTGATATTTTACAGAGAGGAGGGAGAGAGATAGAGAGCTAGAAACGTCATTGAGAAAGAAACATCGGCCAGCTGCCTTTTGCACACCCGCTCCCGGGGATGTGCCCGCAACCAATGTACATGCCCTTGACCGGAATCAAACCTGGGACCTTTCAGTCCGCAGATTGATGCTCTACCACTGAGCCAAACCGGTTTTGGCTAAGATTTTTTTCTTATTTTTACACTTTTATAGACTAAACTTAATTTTATTGCTGCTTATGTTTCATCCGTAAGGTAACTTCTTTTTGAACTTCTGTTTTGCTATAGGGTAAGAGCAGCAAATACATATCTCTAAATACATATCTCTCCACCCATCCTTCTAAAACCATAATGATCAACAAGGAAAGGAGATAACATCCATACGTCATGCCTAAAACAGCTAGAGAATACCACAGACTTCAGTTTGCGTGTAAGAGAGGGAATAAATACCCTAAACCAGCAGAGGTAGCTCCAGAGTCCACGCTGGAGGAGGCATCTAGTTTCCACTGGTGACTCAGAAACAGGAGAATGCATAAATGAGGAAATACTAATATTAAGAACAAGTCTGAGCCGAAACCGGTTTGGCTCAGAGTGGATAGAGTGTCAGTCTGCGGACTGAAAGGTCCCAGGTTCAATTCCAGTCAAGGGCATGTACCTTGGTTGCAGGCAATCCCCAGTGGGGGATGTGCAAGAGGCAGCTGGTCGATGATTCTCTCTCATCGACATTTCTAACTCTCCATTCCTCTCAATCTCTGTGTAAAAATCAATAAAATTAAAAAAAAAAGTCTGAGACCTGGTGGATCAGAACACTGGTAAGTGGGGAAGGGCAAGAAAGGGAGCTGGAAGAAAAGAAAAAAGGCAATATCACTCAGACTATTCAGGTGATGAAAATACTCTCCCCAAAATGCCTGATATAAATTAAATATTGGATAAGGATTTGCAGACATGGGATAAAATCACCTTCCTAAATGTATTATTTCAGAATAGAAAAAATATACTATGTGTAAGATACTCTGTGGATAAAGAAGTGTTAATGGAATTCAAACAAGAATAAGACAAAATCTTCTCAGAAATGAAGACTAAACTACAGAATGCCCAAAGGAGAAGAGATTGACTGAAAATATAACAAGGAACCCTAAAAAGAATAAAAACAATCAAGAATGTGAATAGGCATAAGTTTAAAAAGAGAAAAAGAAAATAGTATGCCTTGATTTTTAAAGACTCTTAAAATTAAAGTTGCATATTTCTTAAGCAACTAATATATGAAGGTATGACATATAATCCCACAATAGCCTAAAATTATCAGGTTTTTAAGAATTCTTAAAATACCTGTTTTATAAATACAGTGGAAATCTAGGCAAGGTTAGAAGCACTGCCCTCTTGTCCTAGAAAGTGGCCCAGCCCCAAACATTGTTTCTCCTGAAATTATATATATATATATATATATATATATATATATATATATATATATATATATAATTCTTTACAGAGAGGAAGGGAGAGGGATAAAGAGTTAGGAACATCAATAAAAGAGAACATCGACAGCTGCCTCTTGCACACTCCCTACTGGGGATGTGCCCGCAACCAAGGTACATGCCCTTGACAGAAATCGAACAGAGGACCCTTCAGTCCATGGCCGACACTCTATCCACTGAGCCAAATCAGTTAGGGCTCCCCTGAATTTCTATTCCATTATCTCTGCCCTCCCTGTCTTTGGTTAGTCCAAGGATGTGTGCATAAACTTAAGCTAAGATAATCATCTATCCCACCGTCACCTCTGTAAATTCACCAAGGATAGGCATTTGATCTGAGCCCGGCTTATAAAGACCCTTTCTTGAGATTGTCCCAGAAACTCTTCAACTATAAAACGCTGTGGTTTTCAATCAGATAGACAAGCTGACACACAGAGCTGCCAAGAAGAGATGCTGAGGAAGGCCTTACAGGTCTCCAGGTGCTCATCCTAGGGCCCAGGTGCATCTCTGCCCCCTTCCTCACCCCCAGCTCTGGTTGTTTAACTCCTTTTGATTCCATAAGCCAATAAATTCCCTTTTGTCTAAGTTAGGGAGAGTCTAAGTTGAGGTGAGTGTTTATCACTTCAACTTAAAAAATCTCAATATAGTAATGATAATTTAAAAAAAACAAAAACAAAAACCTCTTGTGGTCGTCCTGATACTTCTTCAAGCGTGCTCTTTGCTGTGCAGAGCTCAGGAGTGCCAGCATGTAACATGTGATGGGTCCCATCTTTGTCCCATCTTGCCTCTTGCTTGGTCGGGACTAATGTAGTTTTCAAGTTATCTGTTTTCATAGCTGCCTTCCCTTTTATGGCTTCAACTTTTATTGAAGACTGCCTGAGCTTCTGAATTGTTTTGTCCTGTGAGGGTATAAAGTTAAGGTTGGGGGAAAGGAAGATGACTGTGATTAGATCTCTTTTAAATAATAGGTAGGCATGATGAATGATAACTCATGTTTATATTCTTTTTTAAAGAGAGAGAGAGAGAGAAAGAGAGAGAGAGAGAAAGAGAGAGAGAGAGAGAGAGAGAGAGAGAGAGAGAGATACATGGAAAAGGAAGAAAATCCCACAACTTGTGAATTAAGAGGACATTTCTCCACCATCATACTTATCAATAACCAACAGTCACTGAACACTTTGTAAACTAGGCACTTGGGTTTAAAGAGGGTGAACAAGTGTTCCAGGTCCTCAAAAGTCTTATAGTGCAGCCTGTGCTAATTAAATACAGAAATAGAGACAATAAGTGGCTCTGTAGTAAGAGAAATAATGCTGATAAAAAAGTTGATCAGTAAGTATTTAGTGCACCTGTGGTTTAAGATAAAAAATGATATTTGGCCGAAACTGGTTTGGCTCAGTGGATAGAGTGTCGGCCTGCAGACTGAAAGGTCCCAGGTTCAATTCAGGTCAAGGGCATGTACCTTGGTTGCAGGCACATCCCCAGTAGAGGGTGTGCAAGAGGCAGCTGATTGATGATTCTCTCTCATCGATGTTTCTAACTCTCTGTCCCTCTCTCTTCCTCTCTGTAAAAAAATCAATAAAAAATATATTTTTTAAAAATGATATTTGAGCCGAAACCGGTTTGGCTCAGTGGATAGAGCGTCGGCCTGCAAACTGAAAGGTCCAGGGTTTGATTCCGGTCAAGGGCATGTACCTTGGTTGTGGGCACATCCCCAGTAGGGGGCGTGCAAGAGACAGCTGATCGATGACTCATGGATGTTTCAAACTATCTCTCTCCCTTCCTCTCTGTAAAAAATCAATTAAAAAAAATATATATATATAAATGATATTTGAAATACTACAACTGAAGCTTGAAATAGAGAAGGTCCAAAGAGGAGCCCTAAATGACAAAAACGTTTATTACCTCAATAAAAAAGACAAAAGTAAGATTAAAACAAAAAGCAAGGAATCTAGAAGTTACTTTTGAGGAGTAGGGAGAGGAATGCTTAAGGGCTTTCATGGGATTGATATTAGTCTTTTTTTTTAAGATTAGTAGTAGATTTGTAGGCATCAACTTTTATTATTAATATGTTTTAATGTTATATATTTTGTATGCATGTAAAATAATTTTAACATTAATTTCTAAAAGTTTGATGAGAAATATGAAGCTAAAATAGTAACAATCAAAACTTAAATACATTTTTGAAAGCTTTACTTCCTTTACTTACTTTAAGGACAGTTACTCTTGTCAGTTGGGCTTTCATATTTTTATTTAACAATTTCAACTCACTGAGCTTTTTCTGAAGTTGCTGAATTTCTTCCTCTAATCTTTGAGTTGTTGCAATCTGCAAATTCTGCTTAATACTCAGTAATGTTTTTTGTTTGTTGTCTTTCTCTGGCTGTTTAAACCTCTTGCTGTTCTCATCTATTCGGCAGTTTTTAGTCCTGGAGTTTTCCTTTGAAGAAATCAATAGAATTGAAATAAAGAAGTTGTGCTTTATGATGCTGTTCTACACTAACAAACCAGATCTACTCTACACTGATAACCTGAAGATTAAACTATTTATGTAAGTAAATATTTTTTCACCATAAATATGCTTTATTAAAATAATCCAGAAAGTAAAATATGACAATAAAAGTGATGGCTCAGTGCTATCAAGGGTACAATTAGTAGACAATTTTATTAACATTAGGTGGTAGCAGAGCACCTCAACTTTTCTAGGTATGTATTATAGGAAAAACCCAGTGAGACTTGATGGGGGACCTCAGGCAGCGTTCCCCCGCCCCAGCATCAGGCTGGGGGACCTCAGGTCGTGCCCCCCACCTGTCAGGCCGTGCCCCCCACTTGACAAAGGACCTTAAGCTGTACCACCTACCCTGGCACCAGGCCAGGGGTCCTGAGGCCACACCCCCACCCGGCAGAGCTTAACAGGGGACCTCAAGGTGCGTGCTCCTACCCCAGTGCTGGGACCTCAGGCTGCTCCGCTCGCCCCAGGCAGGGGGACATCAGGCCATACCCCCTGCTCAGTGGGGCTTGATGGGATCTTAGGCCACATCCCCCACCTGGTGGGGCTTGATGGGGGACCTCAAGTCACGCCCTCTGCCCCGGACCAGGCTGGGGGACCTCAGGCTGCACTTCCTGCCCAACAGGGCTTACAAGGGTGGGACTGGCTCCGTCTGGATCTAGCCCAATTGCGAGGGGGTTCGGGAGGGGCGGGGAGTAGCCTGATCTGGGTTTTGCGCAATTTTGAGGCACATGAGGGTAGGTGGAAACTTAACTCTGGGACCCGTGGTTCACCCCAGACTCTGACAGGAGGAAGATTTTCATATATATTTTACTAATTTTCTTTCATCTCTAACACTTCTATTATAGAGCAATATTAAAATATTTCTTCGAATTAATCTCCTTTTAATGTGCATGAATTTCATGCACTGGGCCACTAATATCATAATAAAAAGCTTTTGCACAGCAAAAGAAACTATCAACAAAACAACAAGAAAACCCATTGCATGGGAGAACATATATGCCAATATTATCTCCGATACGGGTTTAATCTCCTAAGTTTATAGGGAACCCATACAACTTAACAAAACAAAGATAAAAAATCCAATTAAAAAATAGGTAAAGGGCCTAAATAGACACTTTTTGAAAGAGGACGTACAGAAGGCCAAGAGACATATGAAAACATGTTCAAAGTCACTAATATCTGACAGATGCAAATCAAAATGATAATGAGGTACCATCTCACACCTATCAGAATGGCTATTATCAAGAAAGGACAAGTGCTGGTGAGATGTGAAGAAATAGGAACCCTCATGCACTGCTGGTGGGAATGCAGACTGGTGCAACCACTATAGAAAACAGTATGGAATTTTCTCAAAAAATAAAAATGGAACTTCATTTGACCCAGTAATCCCACTTCTAGGAATATATCCCAAGAAACCTGAAACATCAACCAGAAAAGATATATGTACCCCTATGTTTATAGCAGCACAATTTACCATAGCTAAAATTTGGAAACAGCCTAAGTGCCCATCAGCAGATGAATGGATTAAAAACCGTGGTACAGCCACCTAATGGAATACTAGGCTGCTATAAAAAATAAGGAACTCTTAAATTTGCAATAGCATGGATGGACCTGGAGAGCATTATGCTAAGTGAAATAAGCCAGCTGGAGAAAGATAAATACCACATGATCTCACTAATTTATGGGATATAGTGAACAACATACACTGATGAACAAAAAATAGATCCAGAGACAGAGAAGCATTGAACTGACTGTCAAAACTCAGAGGGAAAGCAGGGACAGGCAGGTAAGAAATCAACCAAAGGACTTGTATGCATGCATATAAGCATTACCAATAGACACAGACACTAAGTGGTCCGGGCATGTACTGGGGGATGGGAGTGGTTGGGAGAGGACAATGAGGGAAAATATTATTGTAATAGCTATGTACAGGCCAGGGTGGAGAGAGGGGTGTACTTAAATATCAGGAGGACTGCTCTGTAAAGTATGATATATGATTATCTAATCACTATGCTGTACACCTGAAACTAATACAGAATAATATTGAATGTAAACTATAATTGAAAAAAAAAGATGGAAAATTGTATATAATTTTCATCACAATAAAAAAATTTTAGAATCCAACCTTCAGATACTAGTCACAGAAGGAGAGAATATAAAAAAGAGTTTAAAAAAATAAATAAATAAATAAATAAATAAAAAGAAAAGAAATAGAGGGTGTAAAATGTTGAAATAAATGATTAAATTGACAGATAAAAGATTTAGATTAAAAAGTTCAGCCCAGCCGAGACCGGTTTGGCTCAATGGATAGAGCGTCGGCTTGGTGACTGAAGGGTCCCGGGTTCGATTCCGGTCAAGGGCATGTACCTTGGTTGCGGGCATATCCCCAGTAGGGGGTGTGCAAGAGGCAGCTGAACGATGACTCTCTCTCATCGATGTTTCTAACTATCTCTCTCTCCCTTCCTCTCTGTACAAAATCAATAAAATATATTAAAAAAAAAAAAAAAAAAAAAGTTCAGCCCTGCTGGTGTGGCTAAGTGGTTGAGTGTCGACCAGGAAGTTCCAGTTACATTCCCAATCAGGGCACATGCAGGAGGCAGATGGTCAATGATTCTCTCTCATCATTGATGTTTCTATTTCTCTCTCCCTCTTCCTTCCTCTCTGAAATCAATAAAAATATATTTTTTAAAAAGAAATACATTAATACTCACAATAAATAACAAATATGTATAAAATGAGAAAGAGAATATATGAAATGAGGAGAGGTTTTTTGATAAAACCAGAAGGATCTGTAGCAGGTTATTAAATTAAAATATTTAAAAAAATATATGTAGTATGAACAGCTTTAAATATTAGCTAATATAACAAAATATGATCATTTTCACTGTCAACAAAATGCCTTATACATCACAAAATTCTTACTTTATTCCTGCCCAAGTCTAATCTCGCTTGAAAACAGTCATTAACAGCAATTTTTCCCTCCAGACGTTTCAAGGGTCTTTTTTGTTCTCTACACTTTTTTTCAGTTTGGGATAATTCTTCCTGATGATGTTGCAGCTGCTCCAGTCGCTTGTTGAGCATCTGAATTTCTTGCTTACAGCCTTCTCCCTGTAAAGAAAAAAATAAATAAATTAAACTTCCTGGTGGTCCATGATTTCTATTTCATTTCAATACTGTGCAAGTTCTACTGTACTGATATTGTAGCAACATTAAATTACTACTAGTAAATAGATGCTGATTTCAAAAATAGGAAGGTTTAACATTTTAGTTCAAGCATGTCAAACTCAAAGGCTAACACAACCAAATAGACAAGGTTTAAGTTTATATGGGTCACAAAAAAACAAAAGCTTCAATTTTCACAGAAATGTAGGCTTATTTTGATAGAAACATGAAGAATACAAAGGGCTGAGATAAATGAGTCATCGTTAACATAAAATAATAGAATATTTTAATAAAAATTAATAATTTTTCTTACATTAACTTACCAGACACTGAGTAACTGCATAAATTAATAAGGGTAACGCAAATAAACCTATTTTTCTTATTCTCTGAAAGTGAAATATTTTCTGTTGCACACACCAAACAAGTCAGTTCAAGACTAATGGCATGGCAGTCGGCTGCTAAAATATTCACTGCTGATATTAGTGGAGAGGAATGGTGTGCCTGCGCATAAGGCGTATAAGGGAAATGAATGCAACACAGTTATAGTAAAAAGTTATTAGCGAGCGTTGTAGTTTGTTATTAATAATTACATGCAACAGGATATTGTAAAAATTAAGTTACACAATTTTTATTAAAACATTTCTTACATACTGTTATATTGGCTGGGCTGCAATAATATTCATTGTGGGCTGCATGCGGCCCATGGGCCAGGAGTTTGACATGCTTGTTTTAGTTAGTACTCAATAATAAACTTGTATGATGAATTTAAGAGGACAATGTAAAGACATTTAGAACTCTATAATAAACAGACTACTGTGTAGCAAGTTTTACTAACACACTGAATTAAAGCAATACCCATTTTCCTTTGAATTGTAGGGTGAAGAGGCGTGAAATTTTGCAAAGTGATTTGAACACAACAGGGAAATCTAAACCTGTAGGTTCAATCTCTTGATAGACTTGAGCAATAAATTCAAATAACTGATTTAACTATTTATTTTACTGCACTGTCTGAACTTTGTGCTCATGATGGAAACATTATCTACATCATACCACTATTTTTAAGCTAGCATTTATTGAGCTAACACTATATTGACCCATTTAATCCTTGCAACCACTCTGAGATTGGAACTATGCCCCCCTCCCCAATCCCTTTTCACCAGTCCCCACTCCCACCAAATTTTACAAATGAAACTAAGGCAAAGAGTGGATAAGTAACTTGCCTAATAGCACAGAGTTGGCAATGGTGGAATTGGGATTCATATAGAAGCTCACTATACTACCACATTATTGATGTTGCTATCTCCCTCTCCCTTCCACTATGAAATCAATAAAAAAAATACATGTATTTAAAAGACAAAAAAATTAATATTACTTTAAAATACTTTGAAAGCAGTTCTAATTTTTTAAAATAAAGTTTTATTGATTTCAGAGAGGAAAGGAGAGTGAGAGCGAGATACAAACATCACTGGAGAGCATCATTGACTGGCTGCCTCCTGCACATCCCTTACTGGGGATTGAGCCTGCAACCTAAGCATATGCCCTGACCAGGAATTGAACCATGACCTCCTGGTTCACAGGTCAACGATTAACCACTGATCCATGCCAGCCGGGCATTTCTGAAATCTTTTAAGTGAATACCTCACTTTAATAGGACTATGGGCCTTGTTTTATATTCAGATTATATAATAAAACTGTTGTATTCTAAGAATTTCAAAATAAGTTTTCACCAGTTCTTTGATAAGTGTCTGTCTCCTATCATTCCCCAGCATTCTTCTATAAGATCTTCTACCAATCCTGTTGCCATCTATGAATGACCAGATTCATTTCTTCCTTCTAAAATGAATTCATGCCATAACTTCTGACTCCAATGTTCAATGTAGATAATCCAACCAATTTAGCTTTAAAGTTCATTGCTTCTGTTTCAATAACTTTCACCTATACCTCTCTTCAATCTTTAAACCCAGATCTAAAAACCCAGACTTATCAGCAGCAAAAAGTAAAACACAATAGAATTTTAAAACTTCAATATTTTAATATCTAGTAGACACTTTTTCCCAGCTCTCTATAAACTCTATACCCTCTAAGCTTTTCTTCAAAATCCCGGAAATCTTCAACTTCTCCTTGCACTTTCTCTCCATACTTCAGAAAGCCTTCCAGTCAGTCATGCTGTACTGATTTCTTTTATCCTCCATAAGAAAAGGACCAACAAAGCGTTCAACATTGCCATTTATCTCCTAGAGTAACACAAAGTAATAAAAAAAATCCTGTTTCCTCAAAGATCAATCAGGATTTTTCTGGAGCCTGGCTAGTCTGGCTCAGGGGTTGAGCATCAATCTATGAACTGGGAGGTCATGGTTCTATTCCCAGTCAGGGCACATGCTGGGGTCAGGGCTCAATACCCCATAGCAGGTATGCAGGAGGCAGCCAATCAATGATTCTCTCTCATCATTGACGTTTCTCTCTCTCCCTTCCTTCCTCTCTGAAATCAATAAAAATATATTTTTTAAAAAATATTTTCTGGGGCTTCTTCTGTCAGATGGCGGTATAGGTAAATGTGATACTCAGTGCCTCCTACAACCACATCAAAATTTACAACTAAAATATAGAACACTGATCATTCGGAACCACCTGTATTACATGAAATGTTAAAGGGTCTTCTTAGAAAAGAAGAAAGATTAAAAATATGAATAAAATGGCAATAAATACATATGTATCAACAGTTGAATCTAAAAAATAAAAATAAATGAACTAGCAGAACAGAAACAGACTCATAGATACAGGGAACATTTCAATGGTTGCCTGATGGGAGAGGGTATGGAGGGATGGGTAAAGAGGTGAAGGGATTTAGAAGTACAAATCAGTAAGTCATGGGGGTGTAAAGTACAGCATAGGGAATATAGTCAATAATATTCTATTAATTATGTATGGTGTCAGATGGGTATAAGATTTTTTGGAACAATCACTTACTAAGTTTTATAATGTTTAATCCCTGGGGTATACACCTGAAATTAATATAATATTGTAATCAAATGTAACTGAAAAAAGTTAAAAAGATCAATCAAAATTTATTCTTACCTTTATCATGAAACTACCCAAAGTATCTTCTTGTCCTTTCACATTCATGTAAGGAGTGAATCCATTAGCACCTGCTAACTTTTTCTCCAAAAGGTCTGCTTTTTGCTCTGCCCTTTCTCTTTCAACCAGATGTACTCTGTGTAAGGTAACAATGTCATGAAACCAGGTCAATATTCAAACTTCAATTAAAAATAATGAAATAAGCCCTGGCTGCTGTGGCTCAGTGCTTAGAGTGTCAGCCTGGGCACCAAGGACAAGTACCTGGGTTACATGTTTGATCTCCAGCCCCAGTTGGGGCATGTGTGGGAGACAACCAATCAATGTCTCTCTCTCTCACATCAATGTTTCTCTCTCTACCCCTCTCCCTTTCACTCTCTCTCCATGTGCCTTTGATTGGAATCAAACCGAGACCTTTCATTTTACAGGCCAACACTCTATCCACTGAACCAAGCCAGCTAAGGCTAAGCCTGTATGGGAAAAAATATCCTCACTCCTTGGATACGGGTTAAAATGATACTAACAATGAAAACAAATATTCCCCATCTAAAATATAGTAAATATGTGTATTAAATAAAATTAACTATTTCTAATGAGAGATGAGAAATGGAGAGAAATACAATCCAGTGTTAAATCCTGTAGTAGTTACCCTAGAGGAGGTCAGTTTGAAATCATGCTTTTCAAGGAGAAATTTAAGTATAAATATTTGCTAGCCACTACTGGTAATAGTGTGATGATCAGGAAGTTCCACATGAATACAAATACTCCTATTTTGCCGAAACCGGTTTGGCTCAGCGGTAGAGCGTCGGTCTGCGGACTGAAAGGTCCCGGGTTCGATTCCGGTCAAGGGCATGTACATTGGTTGCGGGTACATCCCCGGCAGGGGATGTGCAAGAGGCAGCTGGTCGATGTTTCTCTCTCATCGACGTTTCTAGCTCTCTATCTCTCTCCCTTTCTCTCTGTAAAAAATCAATAAAATATTTAAAAAAAAAAAAAAAAAAAAAAATACTCCTATTTTAATAACACCTGAATGGCTCTTTTACTGGGATTTGATGAGGGGAAAGGAACTAGAAATAATGATACAGCAATAGAGAACAGCATATCTAAAAACTTTATTATCAAATATGCAAACAGCTAATTATTTGTTTCTTATTTGACTACTAATTGCAATGTATTGGTAATATTTTCAATCCTAGAGCTAGGTTAAAGTTTCAGTTCATCTTCCATGATTTTTATGTCCTTTTCTAAGAATTGCATGCTACAGAAATAATGAATTTGAGTTAGGTCAACAGAAATTATCTGAATAATCTAAAGAAAAAGTTTAATTCAAAAATTATGTTAGAGATAGGTAGGACACACTCAATAGGTCTAATATACCTGTAGGTCTAACATATTATAGCCCTACAATGAGAGTATAGACAGAATGGGATAGAAACAATATTTGAAAAAATATTCCAAGAATTTTCCAAACCTGATGAAAGACATCAACTTATAGATTCAATAAGTTCTACAAATCCTAAGCTTTGCTAAGACATATAGTCAAATTGTTATCAATTAAAAGCAGAGAAAAAGCACATATTACATCAAAAGTACAACAATAAGATTGATGACTGAGTTTTCAACAGAAGCTATATAAGTCAGAAGATAACCAAATGACATCTTAGAGGGTTGAAAATAAAAATAATGAAATCCCAGAATTCTATACACACACACACACACACACACACACACACACACACACACACACACAAACACTCTTTAAAAAAAAAAAGATGAAATAAACATAATTTCAGAAGAAAAAATGGAAAAATTGTCAGAAGAACTGCATTATAAAAAACCTACAGGAAATTTCTCAGGATGAACAAAAATGATCCCTAGTGTGCACAGAACTGTAGAAAAGAATATTTCTAACCAGTTTGGCTCAGTGGATAGAGTGTCGGCCTGCGAATTGAAGGGTCCCAGGTTCGATTCCAGTCAAGGACAATTACCTTTGTTGTGGGCACATCTCCAGTAGGGGGCAAGCAGGAAGCAGCTGATCAATGTTTCTTTCTCATCAGTGTTTCTAACTCTCTATCCCTCTCCCTTCTTCTTTGTAAAGAATCAATAAAATATATTTAAAAAATAATATTAGGACCCTTTATTTCACAGAACGACACTCTACCCACTGAGCCAAACCAGCCAGGGCTAAGCCTGTATGGTTTTATTGATCAGTGTCGTCACCCCAATAAATCCAATTTAAAAAAACAAACAAAACTCTTCAAATGAAAATGTTAAGAAGTGAAAAAAGCCAAAACCGGTTTGGTTCAGTGGATAGAATGTTGGCCTGCGGACTGAAAGGTCCCGGGTTCGATTCTGGTCAGGGGCATGTACATTGGTTGCAGGCACATTCCCAGTGGGGTGTGCAAGAGGCAGCTGATCGATGATTCTCTCTCGTCGATGTTTCTAACTTTCTATCCCTCTCTCTTCCTCTCTATAAAAAATCAATAAAATATATATATTTTTAAAATTAAAAATAAAAATAGGCAAAGGAAAAAAAAATAGGCAAAGGATCTGACTACCTCCAAGTCTCAAGAAAAGATTTTCCTTCTAACCAAATAAGTTTTAGATATTTCATACCTTTCCTATGGCCTGATCCTATATCCAAAATTCTATAGAAATTGTATTATAGAGTTTCTATTCAACTAAGGAAACTGGGTAAAGGAATAGACTTTTAAATAATAATGGCTAGGTTTGTTTAAAATAGTTTGAACTTAAGAAAAATAAAAATATTATCACCAAATATACCAAAATGCTGCTCCGTCATAAACAAATTATTATTGTTTCTATACCTGAAATATTGTATGTGTTTTATTTACTGGATATTTACATTTTGGGAAGGAAAACATCATCATTTATGTTTCTCTCTCTCTCTCCCTCTTCCTTCCTCTCTGAAATCAATAAAAATATTTTTAAATGCGTTATTTTAGGTCTTTTTTTTTATAATTAATGATTTATTAAAATGTGAAAAGTGATTTTACAGACCTTACTTTTTTTTAATTTTCACATTTTTATTTAAATTTTCACATTTTTATTTTAGGTCTTTAAAAAGATCTTTATGACTTACAGACATTGCAAATTAAAAACAAAGTAATGTTGCAGGGGGAGATAATTCCCTACCTTAGACGGTTTTCTAGCTCGATAATTCTTTCATTTAGATCCAAGTTGCCTCTTTTAAGAGTCTGATTATTGATGCTTTTCAAAGATTTATCTCTAGTTAGAGAAGCAATAAGATCCTCCAATTCCTTGATATCACTTTTCAGGGAGATTATCTGGAACGACTGTTTGGAGTTATCTTCTTTGTAACTTTCTAGCTCATTCTTCATATCTTGCAATGAACTTTCTTTTATGAGAAGTTTGTTTTGAAGATTTCTTAGCTAATGAAAAGGGAAAAGCGTTATTTAAAATCATTTATAATTTTGGTTTTAGAAAATTCATGATTTTCAATCAATATGGGTATTTAAATTACATGCTATCTATAACAATAAAAGTGTAATATGCTAATTAGACTGGACAGCTGAACAACCTTCTGAACAACCTTCTGGATGTCCTTCTGGATGACCTTCCAGACGAAGCTGGGGCTGCGAGGGCTGAGCCCCTTGCACAAATTTCGTGCATCAGGCCTCTAGTAATACAACAAAATACAAGCTTTCAAATCTAACAATCGATTCCAATATTAAATAAATTTTTAAAATTATATCAAATTAACACATATGATTTGAATAAATGAATTTATTCTCATCAAAATTAAAGGGGAAGCAAAACAAGAGAGCCACCACAGGCTGCTATTGGAAGAAAAAATCGAAAAGAATTGAAGAATGAGGTAAGTGATTTTATTATCTTTGGGTAACATTTTTAAAATCTCTGCTCTTCTATCTGGTAAGTGAAGGAATTTCACTAGATGAAAAAAAAATTGAGGTATTTTTAGAACTCTTCACATGCCAGATCTCAACAAATGTTGAGTTGTAACTCTATTCCTATTGAATATATCCCAACTTCTGATAATCACAATAATTGTTAAAATCCTGTAGCATTACCTTTATTATATAACCAGTTAAGTCAGGGGTTCTCTGCACTTCAGTGGTTACCATTCTCCTAAGATATCGTAAAAATAATGAATGCCCCCTGGAATTGTGCAATGTAGTGATCCCATTTCCTTGTACTATGATATAAGAACTGTGCTTTAAGATCTAATTTTCAGTTATGCTATTGTTAGGGTACTGTTAAGATGTGTTTTGTGAAAAATAAGGCAACTTGAGTCTCAGACTCACACAATACTGATTTCTAGGTCTAGTTTAATTTGTTCTAATGACCAAGCTGTCAATTAATTTTCCAGAGCACTTGTCAGTTCCTTCCTCTTTCTTTCTTTCTTTCTTTCTTTCTTTCTTTCTTTCTTTCTTTCTTTCTTTCTTTTACTTTCTCCATAGGAACAGTGATTTGCAAAATCTAAGATTTTAAAACACGGCTGCGTTATTTTTTATGTCAAAAAACCCCACAAATTTTGAATTGTTTGATTGGATTTGGACATAATGAATTGAAATATATTCAGGACTTAGCTAAATGTATGTATCACCAAAATTGAGATATAGCCTGTTGATAGAATTATCAACAAAGTACTCATATCTATAGAAAAGAATTCTAATTTCTCAGAAAACAATCCAATTAGAAAATGGGTAAAGACTCGGAAAAAAAAAATTTATCAGAAAGAATATATAGATGACAAATCTATATATATAAAAGGCTAAGCAACCAGCTGACTGGCCGGTAGGTATGATGTGCGCTGACCACCAGGGGGCAGATGCTCAACACAGGAGCTTCCCAGGGACAGCAACTCTCGCACTCTGGGACCTCTTGAGGGGATGTTGGAGAGCTGGTTTCAGCTTAATTCCTGCAGGCCCTGCAGGCCAGACCAATGTACCCAACCTGCCGGAGGGATTTCACTCACTCCACAGATGCCCTTTGAGCCATGGCTCCACTCCAGATGTAACCAGCCAAGGAGGGACCATGGTAGGTTGGCTCCAGGGTGTGTCCGACTTATCTCACCCAGTCCTACCCTGCCAGCCACTTTCTAATTAATTTCCTTTCCTTATGCATGAATCCGTGCACTAGACCACTAGTAAACCCATAAAAACATATACAACATCATCAGTCATTAAGGATACCCAAATTACAGCTACAATGAGATATCCCTACATGTGTATTAGAATATCTAGCCCTTTGCACTCCGAACCATTCTGGACATTGGTTACCAGCTACTCTCGACGCTACTTTGCAGCAGAAACGTGCATTTACAGACCCTCGTATTATTTAGTATAATTTTGGAACCAAGTAACGTATTATAATGATATTGGACTTATATGAATTGGGTGACATCGAGGAATGTATATTTGCAAAAAAAAACAATATTTTATTGTTTATAATTTTGTACAGTATGATAAGTTTCTAATTGTTATTACTAACTGACAAGATGATATTTACCAAAATAGCTTTCACTAAACAATTTATTCACTAAGAAAAGAATCACTTTTCCAATTTTCTCACTCGTTAGATCTATGTGCACTGCTCGAAGCTTCAAACCAAAATGAGCTCAGCTTTGAAAATCTTTTCCTCCAGATGTAGACTTGTTTATTTGTAATTATATATCTCACTATACAGTGCCCGCTATGTTCAAAAACCGATCTTTCTTCTACAAACTCCCCTTATCGCTCTTTTCAAGTGGCGTTGCGAAGTGCTCGGACCGTCGTGAGCACGCATCTCACGTTCTCGTCCGACACAAAACCCGCTGACATTTCTTGTATATATCTTAGTAATTTTACAATATTTTGATTTAATTTCTTGTGCCATTTCAAGATAAAACTTCAGGGAAATATGCATGTCTCAAAAAGTTGCATTGAAATAACTCAATTCCCCGTAATCACTAATAAACTGCAATGTCCCCTGAGAGGGGACAGCGGAGTGCAAAGGGCTAGGCTACAAAATAGTGACAATACCAAATTCTGGAAAGGATGAGAAGAAACTGGATCACTCATACATTTCTGATAGGAATGTAAAATGGTATCATACTATGGAAAATATTTTGGTAGTTTCTTATAAAACCCAGCTATTGCACTTTTAGGGATTTATTCCAGGGAAATAAAAGTTATGTTCACACAAAAACCTATATATGAAGATCCTTAGAAACTTTATAATAGTAAAAACAGAAAACAAAAAACTGGAAGTAACCCAGTAGTTGTCAACTAGTAAATTGTAAAACAAACTGGTGCATAAATGCACCAGTTTTATTGAGATATAATTTATAAATTCACCCATTTAAATATATAGTTGCAAGGTTTTTATTATATTCATAATTGTGCAGCCATATTGAATTGTTTTTTCATTAAAAAAAAATTGAGATATGATTCACATACCATAAAAATTTACCCTTTAAAACATGAAAGTCGCCGGGACCGGTTTGGCTCAATGGATAGAGCGTCGGCTTGGGGACTGAAGGGTCCCGGGTTCGATTCTGGTCAAGGGCATGTACCTTGGTTGGGGCATATCCCCAGTAGGGGTGTGCAAGAGGCAGCTGGTCGATGACTCTCTCTCATTGATGTTTCTAATTCTCTATCTCTCTCCCTTTCTCTCTGTATAAAAATCAATAAAATATTTTTTAAAAAAGCATAAAAGTCGATAGTTTTTACTGTATTCACAGGTTATGCAACCATTGCCAAGATCTAATTCCAGAACATTTTCATTACCCTCTAAAGCAGTATTTCCCAAACTCCTCTCATGATGAGAATCACCTGGTGGAGTTGTTAAAATACAGATTCCTGAATCCCAACTAAGAAGTGCTAAACTAGAATTTTTGGGAACATATAGGTAAAATTGTATACTTAACTTAGTGCTCTGTCTAGAATTTTTTTTTTTTGTATGAAGAACTCTATCTTAGAACACTGCTCTAAAGAAACCCTAGACCCATTACTCCCTATTATTCTTTTCCCTTTCAGCCTCTGGCAACCACTCATCTACTCTCTCTCTCTCTCTCTGAGAATTTTCTAGTTTTAGACATTTTTAAAAAATATATATATATTTCATTGATTTTGTACAAAGAGGAAGGGAGAGAGATAGAGAGTCAGAAACATCGATGAGAGAAAGTCATCCATCAGCTGCCTCTTGCACACCCCCTACTGGGGATATGCCCGCAACCAAGGTACATGCCCTTGACCGGAATTGAACCCGGGACCCTTCAGTCCCCAAGCCGACGCTCTATCCATTGAGCCAAACCGGCCTCAGCCTAATTTTAGACATTTCATGTGAATGAAATTATACAATATGTGGCTTCTTGTAACTGATTTTTACAGAGTATAATATTATGTTCATCCATGTTACAGCATGAATCAATACTTCGTTCCTTTTTATGTTTGAATAAAATGCTATTGTATGAATATACATTTGTTTAGCCACTCATTAGTTGGTGGACATTTGAATTATGTCTAGTATGATAATGCTACTATGAACATTTATTTACAAGTTCTTATGTGAATATGTATTTCAATTCTCTTACGTATCTACCTATAAGTGAGATTGCTGGCTCACATGGTAACACTATATTTAGCTTTTAGAGTGTAAAACATCTGAATGATAACATTTTAGGAATGGAGGAGAGATTAGTAGTTGCCAGGGTTTGAGGGTGAGGGAAGGATAGAAAATGGCAATAGGAAGGATATTAGTGATGTTATGCAGACAGCTGATCAATGTTCTGCTCTCACATAGGTGTTTCTCTCTCTCCCCCTCTCCCTTCCCCTCTCTCTAAAAACCAATAAGAATATTAAAAAAACAAAAAATAAATAAAAATGCTTAATATACATAACTTATTAGACAAATCTTAAGTGTGGCAATTTATAAGCAAATTTCTAATATCCTAGCACTTGGCAGTCAACTTAAAAGCACTTGATTATGTACCATCTTCAAAGGGATTTCTCTGGCAAGAGACAAATTAATATCTAAATTAATGCTCCTCCGTGATAAGAGAATATTGAGAAAAAAGCAAAACTGAATTGAGATAATACTTTGAGCTCTATCAGAATGGGTTTTGCCACCTACTTTTTTTTTTAAAGGAATTATTTTTATTTTATTATTATTTTTTAACATATTTTATTGATTTTGTACAGAGAGGGAGGGAGAGAGATAGAGAGTTAGAAACATTGATGAGAGAGAGTCATCGATCAGCTGCCTCTTGCACATCCCCTACTGGGGATATGCCCGCAACCAAGGTACATGCCCTTGACCGGAATCGAACCCAGGTCCCTTCAGTCCCCAAGCCGACGCTCTAGCCATTGAGCCAAACCGGTCTCGGCTTGCCACCTACTTTTACAGAGGATGTACTTTCCCACAGTGTTTTATTTTCAGATAATCCATATACCTCAGCTAAAAGATTCTTGTTTTTCACCAACAAACCAGCAAGGTCAGGATGGTCTGGGTCAGCAGTCGTTTTGTTGTATATGATTTGGTTCATGGTGGAAACTTCTTTAAGAGGTGGATCAAAACAAGCCTACACAGAGAAATAGCAAATTAACTAAACATGTACTCTGTAAGTCAACTCACAATTTTCTAGCCTACACAAAATCAAATAAGTAGCTCTAACTAGAATACAGCTTTAAAACATTCATTTTGAGGTGTGACCCTAACAGTGACAATATGTCTCAGAAAAAAAAAAAAGTAACATGATCTATACTTTTATTTTGATTATTATCTCATTCACTATGTAAAAATCTTATCTCTCCTACTACATTAAAGGTACCTAAGAGCAGGATATATTTCTGATGTATCACTATCATCCCCATACTAAGTGCCAAAACTACAGACTGAATAAAGAACCCAACAGGTCAGAAACTCTAAATAGAAAGTTAACTTATATAGATGATAGAACTTTTCTCCCAAACTAATTTTATAAAAATATTTTTTAAAATGTATAAGGAGACTAGAGCAAAATAAACATAGGAATATGGCATAATTACTCTATGACTTTAGGTTGTACATGACTATTTTTATGCACTCATAGGATTTATCAATACTTCAAATTAGAATAGTCAGCTATGCTTCATATAGCAGAAAGTAAGAGCCATAAATTTTGACCATATCAGGCACAGAGAAAATTCCAACTCCAAGATTGGTTTTTAGAAGAAACATGAATTGCCCAATATGAGTGGTTCCCTGCAGAATCTACCAGTAGAATGTTTGCACATCAAAGAACCTGTTGCTAGGGGAGTGCATCACAGAGGTGCAGGGAGGAGAAAGGGGGATCTCTAAAAGCAGTACTACTAGTAAGAGCCGTGGGTCTTTATTTCCCTAGTTAGTGAAGTGAAAACACAAAGTGGTCTCATCAAACATTAGTGAACTTCAGAAATCTTAAGAAAGTGACCCCACTGAAAGTAACCATTCTGGCAAATGTGAAACTCACATTTTGGGTCTTTCTTTTGATAAATTCTTGGAATAAGTCAAATTTTATATTCCAATACCTACACCTCATCAAGGGAGAAGTACTTAGAGGAGAAAAATGATGATTCCATCTACTATTCCTAAAGTAAAGATGATTTGTCTGAAATGCTGATATCTTATTCCAGGGATGTACTTTTATGCCAGAGGAACTATATCTCTATTATATATTCTTGATATTAGAATCACTAGGATTATATTTCAAATATCATCTAAGAGTTGTTAATTTTGCCCGTACACCAGATTAAAAACAAAACAATACAAAAAAAAATCTGCCAAAAACGGTTTGGCTCTGTGGATAGAGCGTCAGTCTGCAGACTGAAAGGTCCCAGATTTGATTCCGGTCAAGGGCATGTACCTTGGTTGCGGGCATATCCCCAGTAGGGGGTGTGCAAGAGGCAAGCTGATCGGGGGTGACTCTCATCAATGTTTCTAACTCTCTATCCCTCTCTCTTCCTCTCTGTAAAAAATCAATAAAACATATTAAAAAACAACAACAACAAAACCCTCAATATATACTGATACCATGACCCTATCACATGTTCTGACTTGATTGGACTACAATGGAGCCTAAGAGTATAAATATTTTTTAAAACTACACATGAAATTCTAATGTGACTTTAGGGTTGAAAATGACGGTTCCATTACGTTCATTTATATATGATAAAAATGAAGCAAGGAGAAATTGATTTTCATGGGAATGAAAGTAATGTTTATTAATTAAACCAGGAAAATAAGAAATATTTTTTCTTCTCAAACTAGCTTTTAAAATTGCACCCATGGGGGGGGGTGCAATATAAAAATATGTACACAGATAATAATTTAATTTAAAAAAATTGCACCCATAAGCAGCAGAAATGTAAGCATAAACAAAACAAGAAATTTCTTTTTTAAAAAATATATTTTATTGATTTTTTACAGAAGAAGAGAGAGGGATAGAGAGTTAGAAACATCGATGAGAGAGAATCATTGATAAGCTGCCTCTTGCACACCCCCTACTGGGGATGTGCCCACAACCAAGGTACATGCCCTTGACTGGAATTGAACCCGGGACCTTTCAGTCCGCAGGCCGATGCTCTATCCACTGAGCCAAACCGGTTTCGGCAAAATAGGAAATTTATTATATAGCTCACATTCTGGTGAAAAAAAGGAGAAAACAGCAAACAGGCATATAAATAAATACAATCATTTTAGATAGTAATAATTGCTGTGAATAAAATAGACTAATGTGACAATAATGAGGAGGCAACTTCTGATGATGTAATCAGAGGGCCTTTTTGGAATCTATACTAATAAAAGGGTAATATACTAATTAGACCGTACATCTTCCAGATAAAGCCACAGTGGTGGGGGCAGAGGCAGAGGTGGATAGGGGCAATCAGGTTGGCAGGGGAGTGCAATAAGGAGTGATCAGGTGACAGAGGAGAGTAGTTAGGGGTGATCAAGCTGACAGGCAGAGGTGGTTAGGATGATCAGGCAGGCAGGGGAGCAGTTGGGGCAATTAGGCAGGCAGAGGTGGTTAGGGGTATTCAGGCAGGCAGGCAGGCAGGCAAGCAGTTAAGAGCCAGCAGTCCCAGATTACTAGAGGGATGTCCACTGCCAATTTAGGCCCACTCCCACAGTCGGACATCACCCGAGGGGTCCAACGTAGGAGAGGGTGCAGGCCAGGCTGAGGAACCCTCCCCTCTCCCTGCATGAAATTTGTGCACCAGGCCTCTAGTATATTAATAAAAATTAAATCATACACTTCATTGGGTAACCTGCCTTTATCATTTAGCAATGTTTGAAAGCTATCTTATAGTATATCTATAGGTATATATATCTATTGTTCCTTTAACAACTGCAACCATCCTGATGGAGATTTGGTTTTTTTACTATTGACATCAAGCCTGTGAGAAACACTTTTATGCACTTATCTTTATATATATGTGTAAATATTTCTCTAGAAATAATTCCTAGAAGTGAAATTACAAGGTCAATTACAATTCAAGGGTTTGCTAGATATTACCAAATTACCTTCAAAAAGCTTGTAAAAATAGAGTTTCTGCACAAAAAATACTTTTTTGTTTGTTAATTCTCAACTGAGGACATTTTTTCCATTGCTTTTTAGAGGGAGTGAAAGAAAGGGGGGGAGGGATAGAAGAAAGAGACAGAGACAGAGACAGACATTGGTTACACAAATATACTAAAAATCACACTTAAAATCAGGGTGAATTTTATATTATGTAAATTGTACCTCAATAACACTATCTATAAAACAAACAAACAAAAAAAGAGTCTAATTCCATATATAGGCAACTGTAAAATATCTTCAGAATTTAGGAATAAGGCAAAAACTATCTTTCAACAAAAACCCAGAAATTTCAAAAAAGAAACACGTTCCATAGATGAGTTCTGCCATTACTTGAAACATGCCACCCTAAGAAATGGTTCATAAAAGCAACTGAGCCAGGTAACTCAGTTGGTTGAAGCATCGTCCTGTGTACCAAAAGGCTACAGGTTTGATTCCCAGTCAGGGCACATACCTAGATTGCAAAAACATCTTGGGTAAGGATTAAAAAATAAATAAGCCCAGCTGGTGTGGCTCTCTGGTTGAGTGTCGACCTATGAACCATGAGGTTGTGTTTCAATTCCTGGTTAGGGCTCAATCCCCAGTGTGGGGCTTGCAAAGGCAGCTGATCAATGATTCTCTCATCATTGATGTTTCTAATTCTCTGTACCTCTCCCTTTCTCTCTAAAATCAATTTAAAAAAATAAATAAATAAAACCCTGGCAGGTTTAGCTCAGTGGGTAGAGCATCAGCCGGTGGAATGAGGGGTCCCAGGTTCGATTCCAGACAAGGTCACATGCTGGGGTTGTGGGCTCAATTCCCAGTAGGGGGCATGCAGGAGGCAGCCTATCAATGATTCTCATCATGGATGTTTCTATCTCTCTCCTTCTCCCTTCCTTTTCAAAATTAATTTAAAAAAATTAAAAATTAAATTAAATTAAAAAGATATAAAAATAAATAAATTGCCCTGGCCAGTGTGGCTTAGTTGGTTGAGCATCGACCCATGCACCAAAAGGTCTCTAGTCTGATTCCCAATCAAGGCACCCAGGTCAGGGTGCATAAGGGAGGCAATGGATCGATGTTTCTCTCTCACATTGATATTTTTCTCTCTCTCTGCCCTTTCTTTCTCTCTAAAATCAATAAAGCCCTGGCTGGTGTTGTTCAGTAGTTAGAGTGTCCACCTGTGCACCAAAGGGTCGCAGGATTGAGTTCCAGTCAAGGGCACATACCTAGTTGTACATTTAATCCCTGGCCCCAGTATGGGCACATGTGGGAAGCAACCAATTGATCTTTCTCTTTCACATTGATGTTTCTCTCTGTCCATCTCTCTCTCTCTCTTTCTGACTTTCTCTCCTTCCCTTCCACTTTCTCTAAAAATCAATGGAAAAAAATATCCTCGGGTGAGGATTAACAATAACAATGTATATATTTTAAATAAACAAATAAAAGTAACCCAGATATTTTGTTAAATCCAAAATGACCTGAAAAAGTTCACTATCTCAAAGAATTAACTGTATCTCCATGTTCATTGCAGTATTATTCACAACAGCCAAGACATAGAAACTAAGTGTCCATCAATGTGAGGCAGGAAGCCAGGACACCCTGGAATAGAGAAACTGAGACAAATAGCTGAAAAAACTGGCTGAGCAATTTACAGGTCACCTCCATAGAGATGACATCTAGGCCTTATTTGTATGTCAGCTCCAGGCCCAGAAAAGCAGCAAAAACAGGTGGGCAAGGCCAGGACCAGCTGCAATGACTGATCACCCCCTGCCAAAGCACTGACCAATCAGTAGAGGCCACAATCACTAAAGAGCACACCTGGAAAAATTGATGAATATTCTGCTGAAACCCTCCTGAGGCCTCCCCTAAGATTCCTGCCTGCAAGAGAGACAAAAGCCTCAAGCCAAAGGCTCCCTCTGGGGAGCAGCCTGCACATTCCCTTCGTCTTCCCCAACTTTTTCTCCAGG